TCTTTGTTGCTCTTCTCTGCACTCTTTCTAGAGTCTCAACATCTTTTTTTTTTTTTTTTTTACATCATGGCAACCAAAACTGGATGCATTATTCAAAGTTTGGCCTTACCAAGGCATTATAAAGTGGTATGAATACTTCATGTGATCTTGATTCTCTCTCTCTCTCTGTTTATGCAGCCTAGAACTGTGTTGGCTTTTTTGGCAGCTGCTGCACACTGCTGGCTCATATTTAAGGGATTCCACTAGGACTTAATTTAATTGCTACCCAACACCATTACGACTCTAGGAGGTATAAACCAGACAACATTTAAAACGGCCCATCCATATAATATGAACTTTTAAAAAAATCCAATCTCACAAATTCAACAACACAACTCACAATTCACAACATTCTAGAAGCAGCCAGGTTTTAAGGATTTATTTAAATCAGTGTTTCTCAATCTCAGATGTGTGGACATTTCAACTTCCAGAATTCCCCAAGCCAGGATGGGTGCCATATGGATTCTTAGGGAGAATATCTTGACAGCTGGTTTCTTGGGTCTCATTAGAGGCCATTGCTTAATTTGTGGAACCTGATTCTGCTGGATTATTTTTATTTATTTATTAAATGTATACACTGCCCATCTTACCATTGGGAGTAAAAGGTATGGGGTGGGCAGACACTCCCTCCAACAACCAGGCCCTCCCTAGATCATGACATTATGGATCAGTGTTGTTTTTTTTTAAACTTGGCAACTTTAAGATGGGTGGAACTTCCGATTCCCAGAATTCCTCACAACCAGCAGAATTCCTCTTCCTGTTGTGACTTTTTTTTTTTTTTTAAAAGCCAGGCATTGAAATAAACAATGTTTCTGGGCATCACAAACGGTTCTTCTGTATAAAAAAACAAGTCCATAGTTTCTCTCCCTTTTAAAAAAAAAGTAGTTCTGATTTTTATCGAATTAGTCCCATTTTTACAACTTTGGAGCTTTGCTACTTGAAGGTGCAATGTGGATAAGCAAAAAAGATTTTTTTTTCCCTTGCACTTTCTACCTCCCTTGAAATTGTTTCTCTAAAAATATAGGTGCAGAACCCAAAGAAGGGTGGACTTTTAGGATCCCTAAACATCCAATAAATGGCTAGCACGGTCCAAATATAAGGCTTAGGGGTGCAAGCAACGGAATATTGCAAAACACTTCGTGTAAAAGCAGGGGGCTTCAAATTTGACAACTTTGAAGACTTGTGGACTTCAATTCTCAGAATTCTGAATTCTGGGAGTTGAAGTCCACAAGTCTTAAAGTTGCCAAGTTTGGAGACCTCTGATGTAAAGTTTTCCGGTGGATTCAGGCTCCTCCTCCTCAATTTAATCAACCCCATCCCACATAGTTTATTTGGTAATTAATGGATTTGGAATTAACGTTGCTTTCGGCTGTTTTCGTATTTAGAACATCCAAATGTCTGGCTTTATGATGCTCTACAAAATGTGGCCTTGTATAGAAACTTTCTCCACAATAAATGCATTTATAGGGCTTCCCTCCTGCGTGGGTCTTTTGATGGACGACTAGATTCGAATTCAGATTGAACCTTTTCCCACACTCCGAGCACTGATAGGGTTTCTCTCCGGTGTGGATCCTCAGGTGCCGGATAAGGGCGGAGTTGCAGGTGAAGCTCTTGCTGCAATGGGGACACACATACGGTTTCCCCCCCGTGTGGATCCTCTGATGGATGTCGAGCTTCGAGCTCACGCTGAAGGATTTGCCACATTCCGAGCACTGGTACGGCTTTTCTCCCATGTGCGTTCGCTGGTGGGCAACAAGGTTGGAGCTCAAGATGAAGCCTTTCCTGCAGTCGGCACAACGGAAGGGTTTCTCCCCTGTGTGAATTCTCGGGTGGCAGATGAGCCCGGAGCTGCCGGTGAAGGTTTTGCCACACTCTATGGAGTCAAATGCCTTTTCTCCATGCTCTTTCTTGTGAGCTGCGAGACTCGACCCCAAATAAACGCTTTTGGGACACTCAGAACATTTATAAGGCTCTGTACCTCCGTGCGTTCCCTGGTGGGCATTAAGGCTCGATGCCACACCGAACCTTTTCCCGCACTCTGAGCATTCGTAGGGTTTCTCTCTCGTGTGGGTCCTCCGATGCATGCCGAGTTGGGAGCTCACGCTGAAGGTTTTCCCACAATCGGGGGATTGGTGGGGTTTCTTCCCCGTGTGGGTGCGCCAGTGCCTGCTGAGGCTCAAATTGCAGCGGAAGGTTTTCCCGCAGGCCGTGCATCCGTACGGTTTGTCTCCCGCGTGGATCCTCTGATGCCGGACGAGGCTGGAGCTGCAGGCGAAACCTCTCCCACAGTGAGGGCACGGGTAGGGTTTTTCCCCCGTGTGGATTCTCTCATGGGCAATGAGGTTAGAGCTCTGGCTAAAACGTTTCCCGCAGGCCGAGCACGCGTAAGGTTTCCCTCCCATGTGGATTCTTTGGTGGGAAACCAAGCTCGATTTCAGACGGAAGTTCCTCCCGCACTCCGGGCAGGCGTTGAATTTTCCTTCGGTATGGATCCACTCGTGGGTGACGCGGCTTGAAATCTGCCGAAAGCTTTCCCCGCACACGCGGCATCTGTACGGTCTCTCCTCCAAGTGGATTCTCCGATGAGCAACCAGAGTCGATTTCTTGCCAAAGCTTTTCCCGCAACGATGGCACTTACACGGTTTCGCTCTGGTGTGGATTCTCTCGTGAGCAATAAGGTAGGAGGTACTTCTGAAGCTTTTTTTGCAACGGCTGCAGACAAGTTTCCTCTTGCCTTTGGGTGCATTGTTTACATCGCCTGCTCCACTGTGAAGGGGCTGAGTCATGTTTTTCCTTGCCTGTTCTTCCTTTTTCGGCTTGTTTTCCAAATTCTCTCCCTCCTTCGGAGTGTGGGAATTGGATTTGCTGAACAGTTTCTCGCGTACGCCTAATGGGTCAGAGTTATCCAGGCTGGAAATGGCCTCCTTCTGCTCTTCCTCTTGAGACTTCGGCCTTTGAATTACTGAAACAACAAATTGAATCAAGTGATTAGCCCATAAAGATGAGGAAAGACAGAAAAAAAACATAATAGCTTTCAAAATCTAAGGGACCGGTTTGGACAAAACTCAGCAATTTTTTGTGCGGCTGTTGATAAAAATAGGATTGCCAACATAATCGCCAATGTCTGATGACGGATATGGTGTCAGCGTTCCAACGAACAAACTCCAAACCAATAACTCCAAACCAATAAAACAGCCATTTCCTCAAAGTTCCATTTTAGTAGAGTTGTCATGTTGGTACATCTGGGATAACCCGAATCTGAGAGTTCTGGGTTTTCCCCTCCCAAAACAAAAATCAAAGATTCATCCCCTGCACCCACCAGTTCATCAGATGGCCCAATTAAATCATCATCCCAACTGGAGACACCCCTCTCCTCTCCAGCTGCAGGGCAACATGTCCTTGATTCTCTGAAAAAGAATGTTGTTGTGTCTAATCTTCTATCTAATCTTCTACAGAGGAAATATTGAGTCCATCATCTGCACCTCTATAACTGTCTGGTTTGGTTCTGCAACCCAACAGGACAGACACAGACTTCAGAGGATAATTAGGACTGCAGAAAAAACAATTACTACCAACCTGCCTTCCATCGAGGAGCTGTATACTGCACAAGTCAAAAAGAGGGCTGTGAAAATATTTACACACCCCTCACATCCCGGACATAAACTGTTTCAACTCCTTCCCTCAAAACGATGCTATAGAGCACTGCACACCAGAACAACTAGACACAAGGACAGTTTTTCCCCAACACCATCACTTTGCTAAACAAATAATTCCCTCAACATTGTCCAACTATTACTACTGCACTACTATTACTGTTAATCTTCTCATCACTCCTTATCACTCGTACCCTCCCACTTGTGACTGTATGACTGTAACTTTGTCACTTGTATCCTTATTGATATTGACTATTTCCTAGTATGATTTGATTGCTCATTGTACCCTATGACTATCATTAAGTGTTGTACCTGATGATTCTTGACTCTTGACAAATGTATCTTTTCTTTTATGTACATTGAGAGCATTTGCACCAAGACAAATTCCTTGTGTGCCCAATCACACTTGGCCAATAAATAATTCTATTCTATTCCGATTCCATTCCATTCTATTCTTATGATTCTTGACTCTTGACGAATGTATCTTTTCTTTTATGTACACTGAGAGTATGTGCACCAAGACAAATTCCTTGTGTGTCCAATCACACTTGGCCAATAAAGAATTCTATTCTATTCTATTCTATTCTATTCTATTCTATTCTATTCTTATGATTCTTGATGAATGTATCTTTTCTTTTATGTACACTGAGAGCATCTGCACCAAGACAAATTCCTTGTGTGTCCAATCACACTTGGCCAATAAAGAATTTTATTCTGTTCTGTTCTGTTCTATTCTATTATTCTATTCTATTATTCTATTCTATTATTCTATTCTATTATTCTATTCTATTCTATTCTATTCTATTCTATTCTATTCTATTCTATTCTTATGATTCTTGACTCTTGACGAATGTCTTTTCTTTTTTGTACACTGAGAGCATCTGCACCGACAAATTCCTTGTGTGTCCAATCACAGTTGGCCAATAAAGAATTCTATTCTATTCCTATTCCATTCCATTTTTATGATTCTTGACTCTTGACGAATGTATCTTTTCTTTTATGTACACTGAGAGTATTTGCACCAAGACAAATTCCTATATTTTTAAAAAGCGCCACTAGGTAGTGGCTTCTGCGGGGGTTGGTTAAAGAAAACAGGACCTGGAAGTTGAGCAGTGAATTGGGAAGACGTGAGCCCCAATAGCTGAAAGAAAATCCGATTTACCTCGGCGCTCTGGATCTACGTTCTGGAGGATGGGATTTCGCTCCATCGGGGACGCAGAAGTCTCTCCTAGCTCCATGAAACGTGGCTGTTTGCGGAACCACAATGCCTTCCCAGCTAGAAAAAGGATATTAAAAGTGGTTTTTAACAACGCTGGGTATTAAGCTATTCCGTTCTGAAATCTGCTCTTCCTTTTCTGTTCAGAAGATAAACAGACTCCTTTCCATGCTAAAATATGGAATATTGTGTGATGACCTGGGGCATGGCACAAAGGCAACACAGTCAGTCAAGCAATAAGAGTCCCTTTATTATCTCTAACTTTGCCCCCCAATATCCAGGTTACTTTCAGGCTGAAGAAAAACTCTCTCAGGAACAGCCTTTAAGTGGAGGAAATTCAGTCCAAAACAAGGTACACACAAACTGTAACTTAAAATCCAAACAAACCAAACTGAGGTAATTAGTTTGGCAGGGCAGGAATTTCAAACTTGAAAGCACAGTAAAACTCACACAGTTGGGAAGACGCCAGGAACACAGATAAGCCACGATACAAGATAAATTCACAATTTGCTCCCAACAGCTTGCTGCGTGCAGCTTCCCTTTTTAAACAGTGTTCCCAGCTGCAGCTAATGAAGGGAATCAGGGCCCCTTCCTCCCCCATAAGCCACACAACCCATGTTGCTCTCTTCTCCGTTCCTTCCTGCATGCCCTAGGATGAAGAGGGAGTGGGGGCCTGGGTCCTCCTCTGAATTCTCTCTCTCCCTTGCTCTACCTCTCTCCTGCTCTGCCCAACCGGACTGTGCCCTTCCCCAGTTTCTTCCACAGCCAAGGGAGCCACACTCCCACTCCCTATCAGCTGTTCGGCTTCCTCCTCTGAGTCAAATTCGGACAGGGGCATGACATCTCGCTTCTCCTTTATTGAGACTCTCTTCCTGTCTCTTGATAGTTTAGAACAGTGTTTCTCAATGTTGGCAGCTTGAAGAGGTATGGACTTCAACTCCCAGAATCCCCCTGTCCCCATGCTTTCACCAGAGGGATCCTGCGAGTTGAAGTCCACACCTCTTAGAAGTTGCCAAGGTCAAGTAATACTGGTTTAGATCTAAACTCCCTTCCATCCAGGCCTTTCCTAACTGACACACAAACACACACTATAATTAATATAAATATATTATAAATCAGTATTGTTAAGCAAATTAAATACCCAGGCAACACAATGTTTATTAAACACTAAGAAATGTAACTAATAAAAAGTCAATAAAATTGTATATCTATAAAAGACTACAACTTCCATGGTGCCCAGCTAGAGCTCTGTGATCCAAGATTTCAGCCAGGGACATTTCCATGGAGATTCTCAGTCATCCCAGGTCATGGTTGTCCCAAAGGTGATTTTTTCAAGAGGCAGCTAGACTTTCTGATTTTTTTCTTTGGAAAACGTTTTGCTTCTCCTCCAAGAAGCTTCTTCCGCTCTGGAGCAGCTTCTTGGATCAGAGCTGAAGAAGCTTCTTGGAGGAGAAGCTAAATGTCTTCAAAGGAGGAAAAAACAAACAAACAGGAAGTCCAGTTGTCTCTTGGGGAAAAAAAAGCACCTTTGGGTCAGCCAGTTCCCCTGAGCTTATACAGAGTGCTTTTTTTTTTTTTTTTTTGCTCTCAAACCTCTCCTGAGCAGTCCTCAAAATTCCAAGATTACTTTGGTGGATTTGAAGCTCACCTCCTCCTCCTCCGAAAGGCGATTCCCAACAGGGCGCGGGTGGAGACCGATGGGGACTGTAGTCTCTAGATCCTGGGGAGTGAGTGTGTGTGTGTGTGTGTGTGGACTGTAGTCTCTAGATCCTGGGGAGTGAGTGTGTGTGTGTGTGTGTGGACTGTAGTCGCTAGATCCTGGGGAGGGGAGTGAGAGTGTGTGTGTGTGTGTGTGTGTGTGTGTGTGTGTGTGTGTGCATGGGGACTGTAGTCTCTAGATCCTGGGGAGGGGAGAGAGAGAGAGAGAGAGAGAGAGAGAAAAGGGCTGAAAAGCTGACTTCAGCGCCCCGCCCCTTTCGAACCCTCGGGATTCTTCCGGAGCCCCGACTTCAAAGGAATCCCCTCCGAATTCTTCTGACGTCACAATCGGAGGAGTTGTTGCTTGGATCGCAAGCTTTCTCCTTTTGATCTTTGCACCGATCGTTCGAAAATACACGCGGGAAGGGCGGCAGCTTCGGAGGGGGAGGGTTAATTGAACCCCATGGAGTGGGATTTTTTGGGGGGGAGGGGGAGAGGGGCTGGGGAGGTTTGAAACGACCTGAGCTCCTTCCTGTGCTGGAGAGGTCGAATCCCCCTCCCGGCTGCAGCCCTCTTACCTGTCTCCGGATATAGAACTCCGCCGTCAGGCTGGGAAGATCGGCCCCTTCCGCCCAGAGCCAGCAGCGTCGAGCGGAGCCGCGGTCCAGCGCCCTCTGCCGGTCGCCGGCGTGCGTGCGTGTGTGTGTGTAGATTTCCCTATGGCCGATCGGGCTTTTTAGACGCGTTCTTCCACCCCCACCCACCCCCGAGTCGTGTGAAAACACCTTTCTCCTGGAAGCAACTGGAATTTCCCTTTGTTTTCAATCGAAGGTTCCTGAATTTGGGCGAAGCGAGAGCGGTTTCTGAATCAGAATCGAGCTGGGAGGGACCTTGGAGGTCTTCTAGTCCAGCCCCCTGGTCAAGCAGGACATCCCTATCCCATTTCAGACAGAGGTGACTCTCTGGTCTCTTCTTAAAAACCTCCTGTTGGAAGTTAATTAGAATTCGGCAATGTTTCCTTTTACAGGGGAATTATTGAGTCTGTCATCCGCGCCTCTATCACTGTCTGGTTTGGTTCTGCAACCCAACAGGACTTCAGAGTGAGGCAGAATATAAAGGAGGATATAAAAGATTGTTCTTTTGATAGTGAAATGTGTGTATTAAAGAAATGAAAAATGTCAGATCATAGGTTCATTTGTCGGTCACTCACTCATATTTGTCAAGCTTGTTACAGAAAACAAAACCACAAACGAGCTACAGGAAGCTAGATGGTTTAGCAAGGCACTTGTGACATCTAGCTACTCCAACCTAGCAACGAGAGGCTGTGTTTCAAGTAACCAATGGATGAATGACAAGTTACATTTCCGTAGTTTACTACTTTTGAAGTGAATATATATATGTGAGTGTAAAATCTATAGGAAGTTGTTTAGATGTTGCTTTGGCTAAATTGCTCTGAACCTTTGTGTAAATAAAACTATTTCTGATTCCAAGGTCTGAGTCTTGTAATTTTCTGCAACAAGAGGATAATTAGGACTGCAGAAAAAAAACAATTGCTACCAACGTGCCTTCAATCCTGTATACAACACAGGAACAGGTCTGGTTCACAATTCAAAGGTTTATTAAAGAAAATAAGCGTTTGCAAACGGGCCTTCAAGTCCCTTCCAAAGTGGATTGGGTACAAGAAGAGCAAGCTTTCATATTCAAACAACACATTTTATACCCCCTGCACAGAACATGCCACCCCTAAGAAGCCCCCTCCACAGACACCCCCATTCTCTATATTCTAAACTATAAGTTTGAGGGTCAGCATGACATTGTTTCCTGTGTTTCAGTATCTTATCTTAATTTTGATGCTGGCCTTTACCTTGGGAGGATGTCCCTTATCTTATTTACTTGTTGCTTAGCCTGGGCACATCTTCCTGTTTTCCAAGAAGATTATAACAATGTATTATGTACTTGTAGCTGAACACATTTTACGTTATAGGGTGGGGGTTTATGCAGAGAAAGAGAAACAGAGGAAATTAACAAGAAGCATCAGAAAGAGCAAAAGAGAATATTTTAGTCTAATTATATGAATCCTTTTATAAAAGAGCAACTTATAATTTTTCTCTCAACACCCCTTGACATAAACTGTTTCAACTCCTTCCCTCAAAACGACGCTATAGAGCACTGCACACCAGAACAACTAGACACAAGGACAGTTGTTTCCTGAACGCCATCACTCTGCTAAACAAATAATTCCCTCAACGTTGTCAAACTATTTACAAAGTCTGCACTACTATTACTATTCTCATCGCTCCTGATCACCCATCCCCTCCCACTTGTGACTGTATGACTGTAACTTTGTCACTTGTATCCTTTATATGGACTGTTTATATGGACTGTTTCCTAGTATGATTTGATTGCCTATTTGTACCCTATGACTATCATTAAGTGTTGTACCTTATGATTCTTGACAAATGTATCTTTTATATATGCTGAGAGTATTTACACCAAGACAAATTCCTTGTGTGTCCAACTACACTTGGCCAATAAAGAATTCTATTGAATCTATTAAAACCCACCCCTCTCCTAGGAAAATGAAATATTATAGGATATACTAAAATGGCAGAATATTTCCCCTAAAAAGAAAAGTAGAAACTCAGAGAGGCAGAAACTCACCCCCCCACACACACCTCTGCTAATGGACCATTATTCTGGCCTGGGCCATTCTATTCTACATAACAAAGATCTACAGCAGGTAGAGCCATAATAGGATTGCCCAAAGCCCTTTCATTACATCATCATCCAGCAAGGCTCAACCAAGCCTTGGGACTCAGGACAGCCTACAAAGTTGGCCCTGCATGGCCTCATGTGAGTCTGACAACCAATCAGAATACAAGCCCAAATTCAAATCCCAACAGAGGGCATAAAACTCAGGGACTCTCAGCATCTTGGCCCTTTTTGCTCTTCTTTTCCTTCACCCAACACCTTGAAGCATGTGATCGTCCTTTTCACTTTGGAGCTCCAAGCCATGTGATCATTAAACCATCTTTCCAAACAGCCTCCTAGTTTCCAGTGTCTTTTTCCCCACTTGGGACTGAACCCAGAAGGATATTTCTTCCAACACTCCAGTGATAAAGCACCCATAACTTCTGGTGGCAAGCTGTTCCACTAGTTAATTCTCCTCACTTAGGGGTGGGCTGCAGGTGCCAAAAAAGTCAACACAGCCTAGGCTGCATAAACAGAGGGATAGAATCAAGATCACGTGAAGCGTTAATACCACTTTATAATGCCTGGGTAAGGCCACACTTGGAATACGGCCTCCAGTTTTGGTCGCCATGATGTAATAAAAGATGTTGAGACTCTAGAAAGAGTGCAGAGAAGAGCAACAAAGA